CACACACACACACACACCCACACACCTACACAGAGACACCCACACACCCTCTACACACACACACATGTACAAACACACACACACACACACACACACACACACACACACACACACACAACTGACCAGCCTGTGTGATCCAGTCCAGGTAGCCCCTCAGGTCCTCCTCCAGCTGTTGTTTCTCCCTCAGCTTCTGGAAGTCTCCTCTCGCCTTGGCCTTCTCTCTCTCCTTGGAAAACTCTCTGCCGGGAGGGGAGGGAAGGTTTTAGTTTTAGTGGGAGTTTTACAGCACTTGCAACACAGTAAGGCCATATAGGTGCCTAAGATTAGAGGTGTTACTAGAGAGTAACAAACACAAAATAGAAGGAGGGGGAGAAAAGGACGACAGATGTTTGATAGGAAAGAAGGAGCAAACCAACAAGTAATAATAAATAGCAATTGCACAGCGCATATATCCCTGCTCTACAACAAGCTCTATGCAAGTTGACCTACCCTTGACCTCTCATGACCCCCCGTGAGTTGACCTACCCTTGACCTCTCATGACTCCCTCCCCCCCCCAGGTGAGTTGACTTAACAGTGACCTCTTATGACCTCCAAAGAATTGACTTAACCGTGACCTCTCATGTCCCCTGGTGAGCTGAGTTAACAATGACCTCTTGTGACCCCTAGTGAGTTGACCTACCCATGACCTCTCACGTCCCGGCCTACCCGTGACCTCTTATGACCCCCTGGTGAGTTGACTTACCCGCTGAGGACACCAAGAACAAGGTTGAGGACGAAGAAAGATCCGATGATGATGAGACTGATGAAGTACGTCCAAGGCCATTCGCTGCCCATCGCGTTATTTACCTGTAAACACACAACACAATCGCGTTATTTCCCTGAACACATACAACACAATCGCGTTATTTACCTGTAAACACACAACACAATCGCGTTATTTACCTGTAAACACACAACACAATCGCGTTATTTACCTGAACACATACAACACAATCGCGTTATTTACCTGAACACATACAACACAATCGCTTTATTTACCTGCAACACACAACACAATCGTGTTATTTACCTGAAAACACACAACACAATCGCGTTATTTACCTGCAAACACACAACACAATCACGTTATTTCCCTGAACACATACAACACAATCGCGTTATTTACCTGCGACACACAACACAATCGCGTTAGTTACCTGCAACACACAACACAATCGCGTTATTTACCTGCAACACACAACACAATCGCGTTATTTACCTGAACACACACTACACCACAACAGCACTTAGAATACACATACACTACAAAGTATATATATCTTTCCACCCCTATGCGTATAAACGAGACAAATATGTACACAGTACAGTATATCTCTCTAGTCCAGTATGTATATAGTAAAGTATATCTGTTGTACAAAATAGAGTAAAGTATATCTGTTGTACAAAATAGAGTAAAGTATATCTGTTGTACACACATAGTCAAGTATATCTGAAGTACATATAGAGTAAAGTATATCTGTCTAGCCCTGTACGTACAAACGAGACAAGTACGTACATAGTAAAATATATCTGTTGTACATACATGGTAAAGTATATCGATCCACCTGTGTACATACAAATGAGACAAGAACGTACAAAGTAAAGTATATTGTTGTATGTATATAGTAAAGTATGTCAGTTGTACGTACATAGTAAAGTATGTTTTTTATACGTACATAGTAAAGTATATCCGTCAACCCACGTACATACAAACAAGACAAGTACATACGTAATAAACGAGACAAGTACGTACATAGTAAAGTATGTCTGTTGTACGTACATAGTAAAGTAGGTTTTTTATACGTACATAGTAAAGTATATCGGTCCAGCCCTCCATGGTGATGCACTGGAAGACAGTCAACATAGCCAGGGCGAAGTTGTCGAAGTTTGTGATGCCGTGGTTGGGCCCCTCCCAGCCCTCCTTGCACTCACCCCGACCCTCGCAGTCGTAGCCATGGCCGCAGATCATGGGCTCACCGTCCAAGAATTCAGCTACACACGGGGAGACGCACAACACAGCAACATTTTTTTAAAACAGTGAAATGGTTTAGTTTTAATGCCCCTATCAACACTATTAGATTAATGGCAGCATTTCACAATCATTGCAACAATAGAAAAAACGAAGATGCGCTAATGAGTATATTGACATAAGAGCAAAAGAAATACAATAGAACGCAGATAGCTCAAATTCGTCAGGACTGGCCTCGGTAGTTGGAGGGATCTGTAGTTCGAGGGACATTTTATAAAGATAAAAAACAAAAAACAAAACGGGACTGCAGTTTGATGGATGCATGATTTCGAGTTTTCTGTGTTCGACCTATCTGTGCTATACTGTATACTGGAGACTTGTGGAAAGTCAGGTACATTTAGTCAAATTTTTTATTAATTACACCCATTTTTATTCCAAGTCTGAATTTTATTTTTTCTGTTTTAATAATAATGATGATGATGACGATGATGATGATGATGATGATACCAATACATAGTTGGAGCAATGATAACTCTAATTGTAACAGTTCTGATAATATTAATAAAAACAAGAAATAGCATTGATGACGGCAGTAAGAATAATAATGAAGATAATACAGAATTGTAACAATAATGATTCCAATAGTAACTGTGCTCATAATACTAATAAAAATAATTGAATAAAAATGCACATTCTATCAGTGTCAACCTCAGTGTGGTCGAGTCGAACTAAATGCTCTGTGCTGCTTTCCCACTGCGGTTGAGTCGCCTAAATGTTTTATCTCCAGTCAAAGGGTACTTGCAGCTTGCACAATCTTCCTACCACGAAGCGGTGTAACATTGCCTGTCTTCCTACTACTATGTCGTGTAGCATTGTCGGTTTTACATAATCGTGATGTCATGTCACATTGTCGGTTTTACACAATCGTGATGTTGTGTAATATTGTCGGTTTTACACAATCGTGATGTTGTGTAATATTGTCGGTTTTACATAATCGTGATGTTGTGTAATATTGTCGGTTTTACACAATCGTGATGTTGTGTAACATTGTCGGTCTTACATAATCGTGATGTCGTGTCACATTGTCGGTTTTACATAATTGTGATGTCGTGTCACATTGTCTGTCTTCCTTCCACTATGTCATGTCACATTGTCAGTCTTCCTTCCACTATGTCATGTCACATTGTCAG